AATAACTAAAGTTAAAAAAATACAGTATAACTAAAGATGAAAGTTTTCTCGTATTCTGGCACATAATCTTAGAATTTTGTTTGACTAACTGGAACCTTTAGAATACCGTTTCCAAAATTTTTTCACATCGTCATGTCCTGCCTTTGTAACTACCATGGTTCTTTTTCTAAATAATAAGAATATTAAGTTTTATATATGTTTTAAGTGACATAGAATGACATAAAATATTCATTTTATGAAGTATATATAATTACCTTTCACTTTGCCAAATTAATACTCCGGTAGAAAGGGCATGATCTCTAAGTACTTCAAAATCGGTCTGAGAAAGAAATTGACTATACAAAACGCCTTCGCTAAATATAAACCTGTTCCTTTCATTTTCCCACAATTTAATTTGATCTACAATTGTAGGGGGTAAAACTGGAGGACCTGCCTCTATCATTTTACTGTGAGCATGTTGCTGCAAATAACTGTTAATATAGCAAGGTGCAAATTAACTGTTTTCTTTCATATTTTTTAATGTTATGCGAAGAAAATTATTTTAAAAAAACATACCCTACAATTTGAGTTGCAGTGATACCACTTTTTAGGGCTTGACGAACAGAATCTCTTGTTAATATTGATACGACCAAATTTGGAAACCTGCAACAAAATATCAATAAATATTGTATATACGATAAAAAGGTTGAACAATATAATGGAAGCACCATTTATAAATTTGTATTGTATTTTTAAGATTAGTAGCCAAAAATTGTACACATTACACTCGCTTGTTAAGCAGTATATAAAGTTTAAATAATTCCATCATCTACACCCAAAGACACACATCCTATAAAGTCAAAGTAATTTTATTAATGAAATTGAAACTAGAAGAAGTGTACTAAAAAGTGTCAAAAATTTAATAAGAATAGCATTAAAAAAATTTGTGACATTTATGAAAAGATACTTATAGGCAAAGTTTACAGATATATTATACATGAAGTATAGAAAATGCCTGCTGTCCCCTGGCGTGAAACGCGAAAGATGTCACGTTTCTCGTTCAAAATTCATTAAAGGTTAGAGATAATCTTACTGTACATTAATAAAGAATTATTTTAATATACACGATACATTATTTTGTACAACTCTTATATATCTAAAATATATTTTTTCAAAAATACCTGTACAACATTTCACAAAACAGACCAAGTAAGGCAACTTGTAAATTTGAATTTGTATAAGCATATACTCTGTAATTCGTTTCAACAACAATGTATCCTTCTTTTTCTGGATCTCTAGATAATGGTTTGTTTTGTCCGGTAGCAATATTTAATGCTAATCGAGTAGGATAAAATCTGAAAATATAAAACATCTTAGTAATATAAAACAACTAATCTTTAATATATTAAAGATATGAACAAATTTTTGAACAAAGATTACATGCACCAAATGTCATGATTTGTTGATACCTCCAATTCCTTAGCAGACAACTTACTATATCACTTAAGTGCAATCATATTGTATTATTAATAGCAAGCATTACCTTCCGGCTTTTCGTTTCCTTTGATAAACTAGGCCAAATTCGCGTAAATGTTGTAAAAATGTTAGTAAACCCTCAGACATTCCTTCTGTACTATAATCCTTACCAAGTGTTGAAAAATTTAATTGAAAGAGAAATGTAAGGCATTCAACTAAATCGAGACCTCTTGCTTCTATTGTGTCTAGATATTGTAAAATAAAGTACCACACCTGGAATTATATTTAAAGAGAACAAATATTATATAGTTGCTATATTAATAAAAAAAGCTTTTGATTATTGTGAGTACTTTATATATTAAATATTATAAATTTGTTCCTAGCTACCTGTGATGCAGTTTCTAATAACAAAAATTGAAATCCAGCTTGTGTGATAACTGGACTTCCATCAGCTTCATCTCGTTTCATTAATCCAGCATGCAAAAGTATTCTGACAGCATCAGCGGAGATACCTGTAAAATAATTATTAAACAATGTAATTATATGTTTTTTAACTGTATCACTTGTATCTTCTTTTACTTATACCTTCTTGTTGTTGTGAACCAACCATATAATGCAAGACACATTCCCATCTTTCTAATGCATATGAATCTAAAAATGCTACATCTCTTGGTTTACTATCAGTTTCCATTTGGTTTGACATGGTCCATGGTTTACCACCTCCCAGTAAAACAATTTTTAGGTTTTTCTTAAATGTAGCATTTAGAATCCACCCAGGTAATCCTCCTGGTATGGAAACTTCCTTCCACACATTTAATTCATTTAATATCAACACTACCTTTTGATGTTCCTCAAAGTAAAGTTTAGAACACCAAGACGCAATGACTGCTTGAGGTACTGGTTGTTCGACAAATAATAATCGCATAACATAATGCTTAGCTATTACGGGCAATTCACGAAAAACAGCTAAACAAATTGGAGGATTGTGATAGAGTTTATTCAATACTTCCGGAGGTCGTGATTTTAAATATTCTTGAAGATTTTTAGATTGCAATCCGGTGGGTCGTAACAGATTCTTCCCGGTTATCGTACTTGACATTATTTTCTGTATTTAAAATGAAATTATATGTAACATTGAGAGATAGTTGAAAGTTGTATTTAATTATAGAATGTACAAATTTTCTTGATTTATCTGCTTTTTTTGTATGAGTAATAGTATAAATAGTCTACACATTTAATGTTATACATTAAATAAACATTACATTATACAATAATTACGAACTAAATGTCTACAACTTTATTTTTCTTCTTTAATAATTGAACACACTCGCGGCGCGGCAGTTCTCCTCACAAATATATAATATACACTACTATACCATGAAACATAAAGAAGATCGTGATTGCACATAGATATTCATCTCATACTAGCTCATATAAAGGCCTTTGGCACAACTTCAAGCCGCTGCTTGATCCGTTAGCGAGGGTAGACGTAGAAATCTTCTTTGCTCTCATTGGCTGACGATTCACAACTCGGACAGAATTCACTGCGAATTGGATACACAATAGAATGGTGGGAATCTGCGCGCCAGCTTAAAGAGTAAAAAAAGCGAACAAGAGTAGGTTCCATACTATACATAGTATATATGTACAATCGTTTCTCAATTCAAGAGCTTTTTCGTTTGCGCACTCCGCTGTCGGCAATCCAATTCAAGAACCCTCGTTCCGCGACAGAGCTTATCCGTCCTCTTCGGTGTGATTGGCTAATGCTGGTGAATTGCCAGTGCCATTATCCAATCACATTTGTGAAATCTTCCACACACCACTCAGACAGATTCCAAACAAAAAGTCTTAACCAAAACAAGCGGTCAAGAGCGACAGAGTTACATTGTCCAAATCGTTACGTTATTAGGTTGCTGCATATGAGATGTCGGATTTTCATGATCTGCAAATGTTTGTCTCCCTGCTAACATTATGTTGTTATTATTGTGTGTATTGCCCGCATCATATTTTGCCAAATAGATTTCTTTGCAAATTCTTTATTAAATCGCAAGAAACAATTTCAGTATTAAATCACCCAAGATCACCCTATTCACCCGGAATAAATACTTTGTTTGCGAAAATAGTATTAAAATCTTCATAGCCACATTTATTCATACGGAAAACTTTAGAAAAAGATATGACGTTTACACTATTCACTTGCAACATTCATTCATTCTCTCGCGCTGACATTCATGTCATTGCAATACATTCGAAACATACCTCAATGTGCATTGAGCATCGTTCGCAAATTCGCCAGTAAGTGTGGTCGAGAATACTACGGGGCGAAAAATACAAGTCGAATATCGCGCCACGTGTTTCAGATGAAGTGCAGGTGTATGGATGCGCGAATAGAGTGAGAACGCAAGCACGGTAAAGTGAGAAGGCCTAGATTTCTTGTCCGTGTGAACGACACGCATACATACGAACATATGACAATTTATAGTTGTACATAGACGCGTAAGAAAACAAAAAGACATAAGTTTGGAGCAATTTTCATAGTAAATATACGATTATTGAATAATAATGTTTGTCACTTCGCGTGTCATTCGTGCTCTCAACGTGAGTTATTATATATTTTAATATATTGTAGCTCTTATGTTATCATAACCTCTTCATTAATCTTACATAACTTTTAATTTGTAAATATATATTTTTAAAAAGACTAACGTTAGGTATTAATCTAAGACCAACGTAATAATAATAATAATTATACGAAATAAAGCTGCGTAGTTTCGTCATTCTATAATATTTCGAAAAGAGAACGGAAGTACACGATTATATGAAATGTCAGATAGTTTTACCATATATATTATAGAATCGCATTTATAAATAATATAAATAGATTAACTTAAATGACGCATTATGTTATTAGAGTTTGTATTTTGTGTCATCTAAAGTAAAAACTATTTTACACGTTAATGAAATGTATATATTAATTGATTTGCAGAAATCAAAATTTTTATGAATTAGTTGTAGTATATTTTTAACTAGATGTGTTATTTATTTTTCAACATACTATAACTTAAAACATAAATTTTATTAATAGAATGCTTCTTTTTACATGTAAATTAATAATATACTTTGTTTATACAGAACTGTAAACATGTTAGAGGGCTACACACTTCAACGATTCGTACATCAGATCAACTCTTTGTTGTACGTACTCTTATTTGTAACATAGATACATTACTTGTCAATCAAATATTCATATCATTTGAATTCTAGCATAGAGATAGTGAAGAGGACAATCCAAAAATACCATTTGAATTTAATGAGGCAAATAAAAAACGTATTGAAGCCCTTCTGAAAATATACCCAGAAGGTCATAAACGTGGTGCAATGATACCTCTGCTAGACTTAGCTCAACGCCAGCATGGATGGCTACCTATTTCTGCTATGCATAAAGTAGCAGAAATATTGAATCTACCTAATATGAGAGTATATGAAGTAGCTACATTTTATACTATGTTTAATAGAAGACCAATGGGGAAATATCATGTCCAGATCTGTACATGTACACCATGTTGGTTACGAGATTCTGATTCTATTGTAGATGCTGTAACTAAAGCTACAAGTTGTAAAATTGGAGAGATGTCTGCAGATAAACTGTTTACAATATCTGAGGTTGAATGTCTTGGAGCATGTGCTAATGCACCAATGTTTCAAGTTAATGATGACTATTACGTAAGTGTATCTATAATTTGACATACATAATGGAAGTGAAAATGTTTCTGTGATTTTCTAAAAACAATTTTTGTATTGGAGAATAGAAAATTTGTAAGCAAATAATATTCCTTATAGGAGGACTTAACTCCAGAAAGTGCTACTGCTATAATAAATGCATTGAAAAAAGGTGAAAGACCACCACCAGGCCCACAAATTTCATCCAGATTTGCCGCAGATCCTGCAGGTGGATTAACATCGTTAACATCACCACCACCAGAACCTGGTTTTGGCGTTAGATCCGATTTGTAATTTTTTCCTTACAAAGTTAGTTTGTTGTATAATCTGTAAGTGATAACAGAATAATTAAGTATTTAAATAGACCATGTAGCAATAATTAAACAACTTGAAGTTTAATTTATTGCTCCTGAAGAATATTTTTTTAATGTATCACTCGTTTTTATTTTATTTTAAACTTTTACCCTTTTTTATTAATAAATATATCGTTACCTAAAATGTAGAAAGTTAATTCCTGTTTATTAACATTACGATTGATATAAAATTATTAGAGTGTAAGAACTCAAAAATATCAGGCCGAGAATTATTTTCAAAAGTATCTCATGTCTTATAAATGTCGGAATTTCGAAGATTTCGAACACCCGAATCATCTTTTAGTCCAAGCTTCGATGAATACGATCATGAATTGGAAATGTTTACAGATACAACTAAGTGGTTTGTTCTGATTATAATCCTCGTACCACGTACTCCTCGGATTCATTATGATATTTGTCATAAAGGATTAAAAATTATACAAAATTAATAAATTAAGATGAATAAAAGGGAAAATAAATCATATTATAAATATTTTCAATATTTCAACAATTTTGTCAATAATACATATATGTACAATATTAAAATATTGTATAATATAAAATATTAAGAGTACTAATATTAGTACTCTTTCTTTGTACATCAAAGAAAATCATTCATTATTCACTATCAAGGGCAAATAGAAAATAATAATAAATAAACTATTACTAATAATAGATAATATGTACCAAATTACTTGTTCGTAACACAAGTATATAAACACAGCAGGCAATCAACCGTGATCAACACTTGATTGGATTTCTATTGTATTCTATTAGATCTTTGTGAAGTTTCTTCTCCGTCACTTTGAGCAGATTCCAAGCAGAATTCCTGACACCATTGGATACCCTAAACATCAATGGACACACTGGCCTTGGGTAAAAAATTCAAGGACAGTCAGGAGCGATCTCCCAGCATCCTGACTGTTGGTGTAACCTGACAGTATGTCCATTGGTGTCAGTGATTCTGCTTGGAATCTGCTCCAAGTGGTGGAGAGGAGACCTCACAAATGGGATTGAACGATTCCAAAGGATTGCCAATGGATTTCCATTTGCACCATCCAATCCCATTTGTGACGGGTAATTCTTCCACTTTTACTTTTCTGGAAGAAAGTCGCAAAGCGGTCAGTATGTTGGGAGATTTGGTTCAGAAGTCTGAAAGGTCTGGTATGGCCTATTTCAGCCTTCCCCTTCTACAACGCTGTTCTCCAATTTTTCAGTAGCGAGTATCCCCACTCTTCGCCCATATGCGCGCGATGCAGTTTTAACCTATTCAAACCTACTCTTTTCCATATCATCCTGCAATGCTGTCATCTTCTCTCAAAATAAAAGAAAATGTGTGTGCATGTGTGTGTAATGTATGGTACTTTATGGTACTTTATGGTACTTATGGTACTTGTAAATTATGGTACTTTCGGGAAATGAGGGATTCCTGAGATTATTTAAAGTAACATTTTCCTTAGCATAAATGCAACCCATGGCTTTGTTTATGAGATATTTATGAGAAATTTATTGATATTAACGGAAAACACTGACCAATGAGAGGCCAGCTCAGCTGGCGCAAGGCGTCCGAGCCAATGAGCGGACGAAGCTCATTAACTCAACCGCCTCGTGGTCTCGCCTCTCATTGGTCACTGTTTTTTCATTAATAACTCGTAAACAAAACGACTGATTGCATTTGTGCTAAGAAGAAAATTCACACAAATATATATATATATATATATATTTTTATATAATGTATTAGAATTAATTTTATTCATAACAAGTAACATTTCATACGTTTTATCTGATCGAATTAATATGATACACGGCGATAACCTCAAATTTGGGAACATGTCAAGTCTGTCACTTACCACAGTAAACGTATGACCGTGCCACTGGTGCATACTGCCATACGCTGGTGCGCACCACACCACGGCCTCCTCGTGGACTCCCACCCAATTCGCATTGCGTCTGCGTCTGTGTCGTGACTATATAGCAGAGGGAGGAGGTAGGATAGCGCCTCCTCATCGCGAGCGATTTCTATCTCTTCTTTCCGAGCGCCTTTATCCCCGCCATTTGAATACGCATCCAGCTCTGCGCAGTCGATTTAGAAAGAGAACGGGAGATGATCGAAAGAGAGAAAACGAAACCAGCAAGCTCTATGTGTCTGTGTCCACGCGGATAACAAACCTAGGCAGTCTCACTTTACCGTGCTTGCGCTCTCACTCTTTTCGCGCATCCTTATCCATGAAGCTCTATCTGAAACACGCGGCGCGATATTCGACTTATACTTTTCGCCCCATAGTCTTGAAACGACAAACATTTTTACACTCAATAAAATTTTTGAAATCCCGTAAGCTACATTTTAGCTAGTGGTTTCTAGTTTATGAATCTACACAATTTTGTTAATTCTGCCATCCCAGTACTTTGTCAACGGTGATGGGCAGCGATCAATATTCTTCTCTACGAGAAGCATTTTCGAAAGCAACAAATTATCTCACAATTTTATATGATTTTTACTTTTATAAATTTAAAAAACAAAGCTGAAACGTGTATTCATATTTCCTTAAAAACACTACATATTTAATTTAGTAATTACCTACAAAAGATTCTCAAACTCATAGATTTAGAGAATTAGAGTTAAGAATTATTGACGATAAGAACAATTTACCGGCAAAAGAGATTAAAAAAACTATATTAAACAATTGCAAAACGTCTAGTAAAAATCGTGATCCAGAATCTACAGCGAAACTAGGAATATAAGGAAATGTTGTTTGTGGGTCAGGGTTACATAAAAAATTGTACTTTATTCAAGCATCGACATTCTTACTTCTAGAGTGAATACGGACGAACTTTCCTGCTTGCAAAAATTTGAGACCCTGGAAAGAACCGTTATTATTATACAGAGAAGCCTGTGGAGCAAAGGAGGTTGTTAATTTTATGGTGCGATTGGAAAAGACGAAAATTCGAATTTTACAGCTCGTAATTCTGAAATTTTAATCTCGCGCCATACTTCCACACCCCGGCGAAATTTCACCAGCACCCTCATCCTGGACAGATCCTTAACTGCGCACTTTGTGGCCCGTGATTTATGGTTGTGAACCGCCCGGCCTGGCGGGCCCAAGGCCGAAAAGTCCTAGCATATGCCAGGCCTCGGACAAGGAGAGTTTCCGCAAGTACCGTTAATCCTTTTATTGCTGGTGTAAATGTAAGTAATTCTAAGGATTTCTGATACCTGTGGAAACTCTTTTTGTCCGAGCTTTGGCACATGCTAGGCCTTTTCTGACTCGGTACCGCTAGGTCGGGTGGTTTACAATCCCAAATCTTGGGCCTCGGGGTGCGCAATTACGATCTGTTGTCACTGGCTTGGCTATTGCCGATCAGACATGTCGCACGGCATGCTAACGCAGTAGCATAGCACGGGGTTGGCTCGATCGATACCAAACGGCTCGAAAAGCCGAACGTTGGAATTTTTTAATCGAGCGTTCGTCTTCGTCGCTCCTCCTCTCGCGTTATCGGAGATCCGGTAAAAACAAACTTCTGCTGCTATTCGGTGTTCCTCCTGTAATCACAGGCAGTGATCGATATTGATCGAAGACGGTGACAAAGGTTAACGTTGTGTAGTAGCGAGACCGTGCGAATTAGTCATTTTTCCGTATATTGTCATTATTCCATCTGAGACTTGGTCTCGCTACTATCTATCGTTAACCTTTGTCACCGTCTTCGACCAATATCGATCACTGCTTGCGATCATAGGAGGGATAGCGAACTGCAACAGAAATGGGCCGTGCCTTCTTCTCGTAGAAGAATGGTACATCAGTTCTACATCTACACAACACTTGAAACTTTACTTTGAAGGCGACTTTATTTGCACGAATTTGTTCAAAATGAAAATATTAACCAATATTATCATAATGATACACAGTGTTCTGAATTTTCTTTTTATGAAACATTATTTTTTTCAGCAATTGATAAATCATTATGAGCTAGCCGTATTTTTAAAGAGAATTTTAGGACTTGTTAATTCTGTCCCAGATTCTACTTTAGGACCGAAACTATTCCTCGTGCCAATGACTTAGCCTCGTTTGGCACGATTTCCTGTGATCTTTTACCGACATCGGAAGGAAGACGAATCGACATAGCGTTCGGCTTTACAAGTGGAAGTGTACCCTTCTTAAATGACACTGAAGAGATACGAAACGCTTCAAACTTGTTATCTTCGTCTACTCCCCTGCTCGATTGACCTGTGTCGACACAGTGGAAACGTGTACTTTACAAGAATCGGCTTGTTTAGTCGGCAGAGCTGCATGGCAATGCTAAGCCAGTTGCAACGAGCCTTTAGATACCTACTTTCTTCTTCGAAATTATTATTTCGTAGCATACAAATCTGAAATCTGCATTTTAGACGCATGTTTATACAGAATGAAGAAAATTATTTCGATCACTATATGTCAATTGAACTAGTCTTCAATGCCTTCGTATAAATACAGTGACTCGCATTAATAATACACGATATTGTTAGAAGAATTATTGCTCCTTTTTATTGTTTACGATAGTATTATTGCAATTCTTAAAGTAGAAACATAAATTTTGTTTATTTATTGCGCATGTTCTTTTGTATAATAAGCGATAAACAAGATTGTGACCAAATTTAACGTCGCAAAGATATTCGGACAGTAAATGAATTGCATTAATTTTATATAAAATGAAAATCTTTTTAATCATGTTATCGTAATATTAATATTTTGTCGGTTGACCCTTTCGTTTTATTACTTCATGTAATCTTTTGGGTATGTTACAGATGATTTTATTTAAATAATCCGGCGAAATCCGTTTCCACTCGTCTAACAAACGTTGTTTTATCTCTGTTGTTGTCCTTGTAGGTGTTGTACGAATTTTATGGTCCAATTGATCCCATAAATTTTCAATTGGATTTAAATCAGGCGATTGAGGAAGAGGATGCAGTACTTTTGGACAATTGTATAATAAATATTCCTGTACAATTCTGTGGCCTTGTATTTGGGATCATTGCCCTGATGAAACTTAAAACTATACGTACAAGAATTTGAGGCCCTGAAAATGACCGTTGTTATTATATAGAGGAGCCTGTGGATCACAGGAGGTTGTTGTCAATTCTATGGTTTGATTGGAATAGGCGAAAAGTCGAATTGTACAGCCTTTAATTCTAAAGTTTGATCTTCGCGCCAGACTTTCACGCCCGGTGAAATTCTACCAACACTCTCATCCTGCGAGATTATTACTGTGCAGTTCGTGATCCATGATTTATGATTGGGGAAGCTTGGGGAAGCCCAGAGTCGAAGGGTCCTAGAATGTAATTAGTGCCCGGACGAAAAGAATTTCCGCAAGTACCGTTAATATTTTCATTGCTGGGCATTGTAGACCAATTCAATTGGCATACAATGACCGAAATAATTTTCTTCACGGAATAAACATGCGTTTAATATGCAGTTTTTCAATTTGTATGCTATGAAAGAAAATGGTTCAGGGGAGGATATCTTGGAATATCTAAGCTCAGCAATGAAAAGATTAACAGTACTTGCGGAAATTCTTTTCGTCCGGGCACTAATTACATTCTAGGACCCTTCGGCCCTGGGCTTCTCCAAGCAGGGCTATTCACAATCATAAATCACGGATCACGAAATGCGCAGTAATGATCTCGCAGGATAAGAGTGTTGGTAGAATTTTACCGGGTGTGAAAGTCTCTCTGGCGCGAAGATCAAACTCCAGAATTACGGGCTGTAAAATTCGACTTTTCGCCTATCCCAATCGAATCAAAGAATTGATAACAACTTCCTGTGTTCCACAGGCTCCTCTATATAATAATAATGGTCCTTTTCAGGGCCTCAAATTCTTGCAAGCAGGAAAGTTCGTCCGTATTCATTCCAGAAGTGAGAATGTCGATGCCCGAATAAAATATAATTTTCTATGTAACCTAGATCCACAAACAACACAGCCATATTCTTATATTCCAAGTTTCGTTGTAGATGGTGGATTAAAATTACTACTAGACGTTTTGGAATTGTTTCATATAGTTTTTTAATCTTTCTTGCTACTAAATTTTTCAATTTTCAATCATTCCGAACTCTAATTCCCTAAATTTCTGAGTTTAAGAAATTTTGGTAGGAACTAAATTAAATACAGCGAGTCGCATTAATATTCGGACACGATATTGTTAGAAGAATTATTGCTACTTTTTATTGTTTATGATATTATTATTGAATCAATTGTTTTCTCATATAATAAAGCACTTCTTAAAGTAAGTAGAAACATAAATTTTGTTCATTTATTGCACATGTTCTTTTGTATGATAAGCGATAAACAAGATTGTGACCAAATTTAACGTCGCAAAAATATTCGGACACAACATCTTAGATGCCAGAGTAAGATACTGTACTACATTGACGACGTTGCTAACACACATTGTTTATAAACACAACATCTAATTCGTCGTGAGAACTCGGTACCACAGAAAGTATTGGTGATAGCAGACGCTTTACTTGTGAAAATTGGAAGAAAAGGAAGATATACGTCTCTTGAAATCCGACAATTGGCTATTTATCACAAGGAAAAGGAAAAATCATAAAGAGATATAGCCAAATTATTAAATATAAGCAAGAGTAGCGTGGCAGATATAATACGTCGATACATTCGTGAGGATTGAATCGATTTAATTCCCTAGAAAGGTGGTCCAAAATTGTTAGAATCTCGCGACCAACACAAGATAATAAGAAAAATAAAGAAAGATTCTGGACAAAATGCTACAAAATTAACAAAGGAGTTGTTCGTAGAATCTGGGAAGAAGGTACACCCGGACACAGTGCAACGGGTATTAAAAACTTATGATTACAACGAAAGAGTTCCTCGTAGGAAGCTATACGTAAATGAAGCAAATCGCAAGAAAAGATTGAGTTTTGCGAAAGACAACTGGTGGAATGATGTAATATTTTCGGATGAAAGCAAATTTAATCTTTACCGATCCGACAGTCAAAAAATGGTGTGGCGTAAAGTAAATACAGAATTAAAGATTTCAATTTTAAGACCGACAGTGAAACACGGTGGTAAGAGTGTAATAGTGTAGGGTTATATCTCGTCTGTAGGTGTAGGTGAACTAGTTTTTATCGATGGTATTATGGACAAAATGAAGTATTTGGACATTTAAAAACAAAAATTTAATTACAAGTGCTATAAATATGGGTGTACGTATAGTTTTAAGTTTTATCAGGACAATGATCCCAAATACAAGGCCACAGAATTGTACAGGAATATTTATTATACAATTGTCCAAAAGTCTTGCATCCTCCTCCTCAATCGCCTGATTTAAATCCAATTGAAAATTTATGGGATCAATTGGACCATAAAATTCGTACAACACCTACAAGGACAACAACAGAGATAAAACAACGTTTGTTAGACGAGTGGTAACGGATTTCGCCGGATTATTTAATTACAATCATCTGTAACATACCCAAACGATTACATGAAGTAATAAAACAAAAAGGTCAACCGACAAAATATTAATATTATTATAACATGATTAAAAAGATTTTAATTTTATATAAAATTAATGTAATTCATTTACTGTCCGAATATTTTTGCGACGTTAAATTTGGTCACAATCTTATTTATTGCTTATTATACAAAAGAACATGTGCAATAAATAAACAAAATTTATGTTTCTACTTACTTTAAGAAGTGCTTTATCATATGAGAAAACAATTGATTCAATAATACTATCGTAAACAATAAAAAGGAGCAATAATTCTTGTAACAATATCGTGTCCGAATATTAATGCGAGTCATTGTATGTAGTCTTCCTAAGAGTATATGCATGAAAGTTCTAGCTTTGTTTTTCAAATTTTTAAAAATAAAAATCGAATAATATTATGAAGTTATTTGTTGCTTTCGAAAAAGCTTCACATAGAGTAGAATATCGATTCCAGCCCGTTGACTAGTATTGAGATGGCTGAATTAACAAAATTTTGTAGACTCATAGTCTTGAAAATATTGTCTAAAGTGTAGGTTACGGGTTTTCAAAAATTTTAATAATTATAGATATGGTCGCCGTTTTAAGACGTTCGCAAATATGCTGAACTGTGTGGTCGAGAATTCGAATAGTATTTTGGATAGAGCACCACAAGTGGATGCGCGAATAGAGTGAGACGCAAGCATGATAAAGTGAACAAAGCTATATTCGGTCGGTGTGACATGTTTCGCTTGTGTTGAACTGATGTTGTGCTCTCTTGCTCACTCGCCACTTTCTTTCTCTGTCTAAAACTGTGAGGGCAGCACTGTTTCTTTGTGTAGCGTCAACCAATCAGGGAAAAGCAGTGTCTGTACCTGCCCTCCTATTTATAGGCGCTTTGCCGCGACATCGCTCAGTACGGCTCAGTGTGCCGAAGGAATACTGTGTTCCCCTCATTTCTCCTCAACCGGCCATTTTGCTACACTGCGTTGCGTTATACTAAGGTTTATTACATACCGGCACGCGTTCATTTGTATGTGTATGTAATATGTGTGTAATAATATTAGTCTAGAGGGAGTTAGTTACCTAGTGAATGTGAATACTTTAAAAGTNTCCTCCTCAATCGCCTGATTTAAATCCAATTGAAAATTTATGGGATCAATTGGACCATAAAATTCGTACAACACCTACAAGGACAACAACAGAGATAAAACAACGTTTGTTAGACGAGTGGTAACGGATTTCGCCGGATTATTTAATTACAATCATCTGTAACATACCCAAACGATTACATGAAGTAATAAAACAAAAAGGTCAACCGACAAAATATTAATATTATTATAACATGATTAAAAAGATTTTAATTTTATATAAAATTAATGTAATTCATTTACTGTCCGAATATTTTTGCGACGTTAAATTTGGTCACAATCTTATTTATTGCTTATTATACAAAAGAACATGTGCAATAAATAAACAAAATTTATGTTTCTACTTACTTTAAGAAGTGCTTTATCATATGAGAAAACAATTGATTCAATAATACTATCGTAAACAATAAAAAGGAGCAATAATTCTTGTAACAATATCGTGTCCGAATATTAATGCGAGTCATTGTATGTAGTCTTCCTAAGAGTATATGCATGAAAGTTCTAGCTTTGTTTTTCAAATTTTTAAAAATAAAAATCGAATAATATTATGAAGTTATTTGTTGCTTTCGAAAAAGCTTCACATAGAGTAGAATATCGATTCCAGCCCGTTGACTAGTATTGAGATGGCTGAATTAACAAAATTTTGTAGACTCATAGTCTTGAAAATATTGTCTAAAGTGTAGGTTACGGGTTTTCAAAAATTTTAATAATTATAGATATGGTCGCCGTTTTAAGACGTTCGCAAATATGCTGAACTGTGTGGTCGAGAATTCGAATAGTATTTTGGATAGAGCACCACAAGTGGATGCGCGAATAGAGTGAGACGCAAGCATGATAAAGTGAACAAAGCTATATTCGGTCGGTGTGACATGTTTCGCTTGTGTTGAACTGATGTTGTGCTCTCTTGCTCACTCGCCACTTTCTTTCTCTGTCTAAAACTGTGAGGGCAGCACTGTTTCTTTGTGTAGCGTCAACCAATCAGGGAAAAGCAGTGTCTGTACCTGCCCTCCTATTTATAGGCGCTTTGCCGCGACATCGCTCAGTACGGCTCAGTGTGCCGAAGGAATACTGTGTTCCCCTCATTTCTCCTCAACCGGCCATTTTGCTACACTGCGTTGCGTTATACTAAGGTTTATTACATACCGGCACGCGTTCATTTGTATGTGTATGTAATATGTGTGTAATAATATTAGTCTAGAGGGAGTTAGTTACCTAGTGAATGTGAATACTTTAAAAGTTTTGAGGTTATAGCGAATTTTGTGCAAGGATAACGTTCGTGGTGTTATCGTGATACAGCAATATTTAAATATAAAATCGTCCTTTAATTCGGACGAAAGATTGAACTTTTAAATTAATTGTGTGAGCTATGAAAACTCTCGAGTTAATTCTATGTCGATGACATGTCGGCTCCAAATAACGTTAAAACAATGCGGGCGCATAGACTGGCCTATCTGGCCGTCTGACAAATATGAATTTGTGGCATAATTTCGTAATTTTCATAATTGAACATGGTCAAAGAAAAACCAAATTCAATTCGTATTTACGATTCGGAAGGCTACAGACGTAGGGCTGCATGTATCTGTGTCAAAAACGATCTTGAGGATGAGGTAAGCCAGCAGATGGCAGCCGATATTTTTTTCTTGAGAAACATTGTTTTTTTCTTTAACATCAGTTTCTATCGTTCTCACCAATGTGCAAATTAAATACAGATAAAAATGTTCTATCATTTATAATGTTACAGGTACTTTTGGTTACATCCAGTCGAAGACCAGATAGTTGGATAGTGCCTGGTGGTGGAGTTGAACCAGAAGAAGAACCTGCAGTAACTGCATTACGAGAAGTAAGAGAGGAGGCTGGTGTGTTAGGGCAATTAGGCAGATGTCTCGGCATATTTGAGGTAATAAAATGCATTATATTTTAATTAATGTTGAAGTAATAATGATAATTATTAGTAAATAGTATCAGGCGTAACACAAATCTCTTTTTACAGAATGTGGAACACAAACATAGAACACAAGTATGGGTTATGAGAGTAACAGAAGAACTACCAGAATGGGAAGATTCACGTGCTATTGGTCGAAAGCGAAAATGGTTTACCATACCAGAGGCCTTACTCCAGCTTGCTCAGCACAAACCCGTCCAACGTTCTTACATACACAGCCTCAACAATACCAATCCACGACATAATCCGAATATTTCACCGCCTCACCATTCACATACTACTGTAACATCGATTCAGTTAATGAATAATTCTAGTAACAATTCCCATCTTAATAAACACAGCTAATATTAAATACCATCCATTTGCGTGACTATTGCCATCAAATGTTAAATATTTGTTGCTGCTCCTTTCTCGTTAAATGTTTATAACAACAGCTGCAGTTGTATTTTGTATGTAAAAGAACATGGCTTATATCTTGTCCTTTTCTTCTTCTTTTCCTGTTATTAGTAGTACAGTTGCTACGAATCATGTTACTATAACTACTAGTACTAGTACTGCTATTACATAATTACTACTACTATTACTATTGTCATTAATATTGCTACTATACTGTTAATGCTACAATTATTACTACCAATACTGTTACTACTATTATCACAATTGCTATCATTGTCATGTCATTACTATTACAATCATTAGATTCGTTCGTATAGATTAATTAATAAACTGATCCACAAAGGAGCAGTTTTACCAGCTCAAGTCTCATTTTTCTCATGTTTTTCCAAGGGAAGCAAATAATGCTTGTATTCTATAAGTAAATAAGTACATCATTTTCATACGTTAAGTGGATGGTATTTCATGCAAAACAAAACTCTGGAATTAGATTACCTCTCATGTTGTTTGCATATACTCAAAGAATGTTACGAATGTCATAATTAAACATATCTATACCTCATCAGTTTGTTTCTTTTGAACAACATTTTTGATGGTATGTGATACTGCTTTGTAGTTGATTCTGCAATCATTACAAATTTTTACATACTATGAATCAGCATGTAGTTTACAGACTGATTTGTTTAAGAAATTGCAATAGGGATTGCTTAGAATATACAATTTGAAGAAAACAAGAGTTTTCTCTTTATAAACTATAAAACTAATTGATGCGGAAATTATTTAATTGTAAAATGAAATATAAATATGTGGTTGCACCATGAATGATTTTGGGTTTGATTTTTTTTGTAATTATATAATTAAATTTTCTGTAATTTTTTGGATGTTATTAATCTTGAATATTGTAATTCTATACTTATCATTATTATTAACTTGTATTATTTCAAATTGAAATGATTTGATTTCGCACAAAAAGTTGCCAATAAAGTACAATGGAAAAACTAGTACAATACAGTCAACATTTCAGTAAAATGGTTGGACAAGAGCTCATCTATTTAAGTACTTTAAGGGTGTGCGTTAATCGACGTTGTATATCCACGTGCATCGAACTTCGCTTAGAAAGTAATTTTCAAAACATTTTATGTAACAGCTGAAAACTGTTTAAGTTTTTCAAAATAATATTTTTTATTTACATATTATAGGTGATGTATTCATATTTATATATTTCCTGAAATATATATTCCTTTTCAATATCAAATACTTGTATAGTATACAAAGTTAGGTTATGTACTTGAAAACTTACATCCTTTGCCAATAAAACTTTCCTTATTTTTATTTATAGATGTATCTTTATTAAGATGACTATTTTTTATAAAGAAATACCTAAAAACATGGAATATGAGCAAATGGATGATGTTGAGGATATGGATGAAAGCAGCAATGACAGCGATGAAGAAGATTCTTCAAACAACGAAGGAAAAGAGGATCAGAATAATGAGTCTAGTGTATATCTTCCTGGACAACCACTAGAAAGTGGAGAAGAACTTGTTGTTGACAAAACAGCATATAAAATGTTACATCATGCACAGTCTGGTGCACCTTGTCTTAGTTTTGATATAATTTTAGATGATTTAGGAAATAACAGAGAAGATTATCCCTTAACTATGTACCTAGTTGCTGGAACTCAAGCAGCCAGAGCTCATGTAAATAATCTTCTTGTTATGAAAATGAGAAATCTTCATAAAATAAATGAAGATTCTGATGATGAATTGGAAGATGATGAATCGGACGATGACGAGAACAAATCTCCAGTAATGTCTGTTGCACCAATAAAACATCAGGGTTGTGTTAATAGAATAAGGTAAATATATAGGAGTTTTTATAATTCAATCATCTTTTCAGTTTTTATATAATTTACACAAAAATATTAAATGGTATCAATTGAAATGTATTATCTATAATATTTGGTATGTTTCTTCAGAAGATTTTAGTATTTGTTAAAATTGGACCACTTAATTAATTTACATTCACACTACCCTGTATAGAGTGTTAAATGTAATATATTTGTTAATACTTAATGAATTTTTAAATATCGAGCTTTCTTGTAAATTATAAGCTTCATTAAGAAAATGTAAGCAAACTTTTAAAAAATATGCAGAATTAGTAATTTTTATTAAATGAAATGAAGTATTATTATTAGTTAATTATAAAATTATTAAGTGATGCATTCTTCGAATAAAACTATAATTAACACATTGTAATTCGCAGGCAAGAGTATAACCTTCAGGCAAAATCTTATACTAAAAAAGTTAT